GAGTCTGTTACAGTGCATAAAATATCCTCCCCAAGGGGTCTGGAGCAAGGTCTGGTGCCTTGGTAAGAATGGGAGTTAGATACTCTGTTAGCGGAGTGATGCCGTTTGAGGTTGGAGGCTGCTTGTCAGCCAGGAAAGTTTGTCCCTTAAGGCTACCTTGAGACTGTCATCATTTTCCAGGAGGGGCTGGAGGTCATTAACGAGGTATCCAAGATGTTCATGCTGGAGGCTGTAGATGACAACTGAAGGTACCCTGTTGCCTTTGTCTCCGGCTTGGTAATGTAGCAGGTCAGAGTGGGGTCTAAATCTGTTCAGTTTCCTACAGTGTTAGGATTGTATTGCAGTTGTAGGTATCCCTGCTCCAAATCCTAACGTATGCTTCCTGGTCAGTGGAATCAGAGCAGATACAGCTGTAACGTAGAGCTTGGCTGCAGACCAGAGATTCCCAACCACCAGGCCGCAGCCCGGTACTGGGCCGTGGTGGGTTGGCTACATGGTCATGGCACGAGCCCCCCCGCTTGGAGCCCTGTCTGTCTGTCTGCTCAGGTGAGCAGCTTCCAGGGTCACAGCTAAGATTCTGGGATTAAAGTCAGGTAGCAGGGGAGCCCTGGGAGGGAGGCAGCTGGCTCCATACACCCCATCCCGCTCCCGCCAGGTCACAGTAAAAAAAGGTTGGGAATCTCTGCTATAGACTAACATAATGGCGAGTTTAGGATCAGAGCTACTGGTGTGGAGGTAGCTGTAGCAGTCAGCTGGTTTCCAATATAGTGTGGTGGTGATATAGCCACTGCAAATGTTCACAGGGGTGTCCAAGAAATAAATTTGCTGGGAGTATTCCAGAGTCAGTTTGATGGAGAGCTGGAAGTCCTGGTAGAATTTCTCTAGAAATTCCTTCACATGCATCCCCATGTCATCAATGTACCTTAAGCATACCAGGGGGATGACAAGGCAACTCAAGGTCTGTTGTAAATATACTGACAGAGTCAGGGGCCCTGTGTGCAAATGACCGTGTCATTCATTTGTACATATATGAGTCCCCAAATCTGAAATAGCTGTGTTTGAGGACAAAACAGGAGAGCATGATGCAAACAGAAGCAGTGCCCTTGTCAAGGATAAATGTTCTTTATGGCTTGTAACCCATCCTCATGGGGGATGCTATTGTACAGAGATGTAACATCCATGGTAGCTAATATGGTGTTAGCTAGAAGCTGGTCAATGGAAGCTAGTTTCTTTAGGAAATTTGTGGTATCTTTCAAATAGCTTATTTCAAGTAGTAATCAGACCATAAGATACTTTTATAATCTAATTTCTAGGTACAACTACCTCCTTGAAAGAAAGTTTGGGAAAAAGGAAGAGAGTAGATATGGCAGATGTATAAACATGAGGGAGAAGAAGTTGTCTTGTGGAAAAATACCATCCAGAAGGTCTAAATCCTTAAGTGTTACTTATAACAGCAGGTAAAAATGTCAAGACAGAACATGACATTTACACACTGATGCTGCCCTGTAGTATAACTTCAAAATATTCTTGGGTAGTTAACATTATTCTAGTTTGAGACAAACTGAGGCCAAGTAGTTAAATGATTTGGCCAAGATAGTGGATCGAATCAAAGGCAACTTTCAAATCAATCATTTTTTGGTTTCTGTTTTAGCCTCTTAAAGGGCTCAACTTAGAGACATAGATTAAACTGTATGGAGTTCTTCTGCTTATGTTAGACCTCAGAAAACATTTTAGTGTTTGCCTCGTGGTACTATATTACATAAGCTCTCAAAGCATTTGCAGTTAAAAAAAATAAAACAGAAATCAAATGCAAAATAGTACCTGTTCCAGTGCTGCTTGCCCCTGGATAGGTGACTTCAACATACACTTCAAAGGTTGTTTCCGGATTTTGTCTGAAATAGAATACAGTAAGTACATTAATAATATTTTCAGAATAGAGAGTTGAACCACCTTAAAAATTTGCTTTTTAAGCGCACACAGTCTTTACGGTGATGGCTTCACACATGTAAGATTTTTTTGTGTTTATTTTTATTTTTATATTTTGCATGTTTGGATATGAATTAGCAGCTCGCATCTTGTGTACCTGATACACAAATATGGTGTTTAAACATTATTTAAATAAAATTTTCAGAGCTGCCTGAAGGATTTCAGCATCTAACCCAAATGGAAAATAGTCAGTAGAAATTAGGCTATCCTCCAGTCTTAGCATGTCATCAGTCTGCAACTCCAGCTACTTAAAAAAGGAACACAAGCCTGCCAATCTGAAAGTGGGAAAAGGAAGAAAGAGAATCTGGGGCATTTTTTAAATCCATTTCCAGAGTTCTGTTCAATTTTCTGGACTATAATATACTAGTTCTGGATCAAAATAAACAGCTTGATTCCAGATGGAGATGCACAAGAGCAATTACTTGCAAACTCTGCTTTGTTCACTGTTTTAATCAAAAGCAAAAAAATTAAAGTCACTTGTTTGCTCAACAAAATTTTTGTTCCCACCTCCTTCACTTAACTAAACTGAAAGCAGTGCTACACCAGGAAATGAGAAGTGACCTAAATTCACATTCCAATTATTGTGACCTTTGATTTCAGCCTGATGGTACCTATTTAGTCAGCAAAAAAAGGGAAACTCAAGAAGATCTAACGTTATTTTGGGTGGATTGTTGCAGGGGGAGAGGGGCAGAGAGGGATGAAGAAAGGAGGGGAAGGAATCTGAAGGAGTCATATTTAGGACAGTGAAGAAAGAGCTTTCATAGTTTCTAGGGTCGGAAGGGACCTGAGCAGA